AAATTTTAATTTTAAAATTTAAAATTTTTAAAATTTAAATTAAAAATTTTTTTAAAAAACTTCCCAAAATCTTTTTTTGGTTTTTAAAAAAATTTTCAAAAAGTAAAAATTTTTTAAAAATTAATCCAAAAAATATTTTATTTCGGGTTTTTTCCCTTTTAAAAAAACGGGGTTTTTTTTTTTAAAAAAAAGGGAAAAAAAAAAAATTAAATTTTTAAAAAAATAAAACCATTTAAATTTAAAGGAAAATAAATTTTAAATTTTCTTTTTAAATTTAAATAACAGAATTTAAAATTTTATTTTAAAAATTTCCTTTTTTTTTTTTTTTAAAAAAAAACAAATAAGGTTTTCCCAAAAAAAAACAGGGTTTTTTTTTTAGTATCAATTTTATTTTTTAAAAATTTTCTTTATTTTGAAAATTTTTTTAGTTTTTTAAAAAAATTTTTTTTTTTTTAAATAAAAACTTTAAAAAAACTTAAAAGGGCCAAATTTTAAATTTTTTGACAAATATAAAAATTTTAAAAATTTTTTTTTATTTAAAATTTTTTTTAAAAAAAAAATTTCCCCTTTATTTTAAAAAAAAAAGAAAAAAAAAATTTTTAAAAAAAGGGGGGTTTAAAAAAAAATCTTTTTAAGGGGTTTTTTAGGTTTCTGGAAAAATTTTTAAAAAAAATTTAAATTTTATTTTTTTAAATTTTTTTTTTCAAAGTTTTTCCCCCAAAAAAAGGGAAAACAAAATTTAATTTAAAAGTTTTTTAAAAAAAAAGGGTTTTTGGATTTAAAAATTTTTTAAATTTTTAAAAATTTTTCCCCAAAAAAGGAAAAAAAATTTAAATCCCAAAAGAAAAAACAAAAAATTTTTTCCCCAAAATGAAAAATTAAATTTAAAATTTTTTTTTTTTATTTTTTTTGGTTAAATTATTTTTCCAAAAAGGGGGTTTAAATTTTTAAAGGCCAAAAAAAATTTAAAAAAAAACCTTTTTGAAAAAATTAATTTATAAATTTTTTTTTTTCTCCGGGGAACTTATTTTTTTTAAGTTTAAATTTTTAAATTTAAAAATCCCCAAAAAAAAATCAAAGGGAAAACCCCCCCGTTAAAAAAAAAATTTTGGGGTTTTTTTTGGGGGAAAAATTTTTTTTTTATGAATTAAAAAAATCAAAAAATTTTAAAAAATAAAAAATTTTCCCCAAAAAAAAAAATTTTTTTTAACCCAAATTAAATAAATTAAAAATTTTTTTGGAATTATTTGGGTTTTAAAAAAAATTTTTTTTTTGGGAAGGGCTTTTTTTTTTCTAGTTTAAAAAAAATAAAAAAAATTTTAAAAAAATTTTAAAAACCCAGTATTAATGTAAAAAAAAAATTTTTTCCCTTTCTTTATAATTTAAATTTTTTTAATTTAACCTTTTTAATCAAATTTTAACCAAAAAAAAATATTTTGTTTTAAAAATTGAATTTTTTAAAACCCCAAAAATTTTTTTTTAAAAAAAATATTATTTTAAAATTCATTTTTTATTTTTTTAAATTTAAAGAAAAAAAAATTTTTTTTGTTTAAATTTTTAAAAAATTTTTAAACCTTTTTGAATTTTTTTAAAAATTTGGGGGGGTAAATAAAATAAAAACCTTTTTTTTTTTTGGGTTAAAAAATTTTTTAAAAAAAATAACTAAAACAAAAATTTTTTGGGGGGTTAAAAAATTTCAAACCAAAATTTTTAAAATTAAATTTTTAAAAGAATTGGTTTTAATTGGGTTTTTAAAAAACCCTTTAAATGAAATTTTTAAAAAAAAATTTTTTTTTGGGTGGGGAATTTTAAAAAATACTTTAAAAAAATTTTAAAAACGGGTTTTTAACTTTTAATTTTTTAATATAATTTTAAAAACTCTTTTTTTTATTTTCCCCCATTTTTAAAAAATTTTATTTTTAAATTATTTACATCTTTTAAAACCCCATATTTTTGATTTCCCTTTAAAATTTTAAAAAAAAACCAAAAAAAACGAATTTCCTTTCCTAAGAATTTGCACCTAATTTTTATAAAGTCTATAAGTTATTACACAATGTTTAAGTTATTGCATTACAGGATTCAAATCAGTAATCTCAGTAATTAACTTTTACCCAGGAGTAAATGATCCAAAAACTCTATAGAAATATCTTATTGATTCTTAAATCTGAGTGTGTACTTATGATGTGAAGTTTGTAAGTTACAAATTATTGTCAAAGAAGTCATCTCAATAATCTTATGCTTTGACCTTGACAAAGTGTCCTTAACAACAAAGTGTATTCCTACAACCATTCTATATGTAATTAGTATGATGAATATGGTATGATAAAGATATTCAAAATATTATTAAAACACAGATTATGGGACACTTGCATCTTTATTGGGGGTCTTATTGAGACCAATTTTAAATTCAAAATTAAACATGATACATACACAAACAAAATATATTTACAGTTCCAGGAAAGTTAAATAATAACATTAAATCCAGCATCTGGATATCTGTGTTAATTTCTAGGGGGTTGTAAAAATTAGATGAAAAATAAAAGGTTTTAATGTGTAATTCCCATACATAACAACAGTCTTCAATATGAATTGGTAAAAATAAAAGTCACATTCACATACTTTGAGGTCAGTGAGAATTAGTTTTTAAAGAGCTCATGCTATCAGAAAATCATATTTTCATATTTTCAATACTTGATTTGACTAGATCTCAGTCTGATAAATGGCTACATCTTATTCATAGTCAGTGTCTGACAGTGAAAGATACAATCCTGGCTCCTTTCTTTGTCATCCTGTAAACCACAGTTTATGATCATACTGGTTAAATTGGTTGGAAATCATATTTATCTATGTGCTTCTTAAATCCTCCATCCACCTCCTGTTTGATTTTCTTGTTTCAGTGTTCCAAGAGAGGATATTCTGTTAGTCTTTGCATAATCTGATAGTCTTTCACCATTCTGAGAGTAGACATAGATCATTTCCACAAGCCCTCACTAGAATATCCTGGAAAATAAAAAATAATGTCTTATTTAAAAATTTTTTTTAATGTAATATAAGCTTGATGGAATTCTAAATATAGACAAAAAGGGTATAAATACAAGGTGTAATATCAGATTTTGACTTTTCATATTAACCATGGGTAACACCTCCAGTAAAGAAAAGAGTAAAGGAATGAGTAAAATTCAGTGTGGAGAGAGAATTCTTTCAGAGAAAGATGTAGACAGAGGTATACCAGTTAAAATAAAAAAAGATGGCACTATTGAGATCATTTCTCAAGAAGAATATAACCAATTATGTCCAGAAAAGGGTGTACCTAATGTTGTCAGAGATTACATAGAAAGACCCTTGATTGCAGAAGAAGCAAATGAAGAATATAACCATTTATTACCAAAAGAGGGTAAGAATTACTTGGATTACCCTGAAAGACCTTTGACTAGAGAAGAAGTCAAGTTTATAGATGATAAGAGAAATCAGTTGTCAGAAAAAAGATTGTTAAAGACACATGATTTTTAGCCCACAAAACCATTGGAGATACAAGGATTACAAGATATAAGGATTAATGGAGGAAGTCCAAACTGAACTCTTGGAAGACATTAAGGCTCATTATGAGAGTAACTTTCCAGTGTTTGTTTATTACAAAATTATGTATTCTGATTAAAAAAAAAAGTTTTCACTTTCATTTGTTGTGCCTTGGACCATTTAAATCGACCTTATGGTCAAGATTGTGATACACACTCTGATAATCATTTATGATGTCTCTATGATGTTTACCTCAAAAGTTTGAATCAGGGTATTTGTGTTCAAAGAGCTGAAGAAACTATACAGACAGATCTATAATGATTTTGGAAGCATACATATTAATGAGGTTAAAGGAGATATAACACTTGAATTCATTACTACATTATTAAAAAGAAAGAACACAAACTCATAGAAATGATATTGAAAGTACCTTAAATGAATAAAGTGTCATGCTCCAAGGTGTGCTTTAACAGAAGGTTTACATCAGTTATATGGTTACAGTCTTTATACATAATCAAGAGGGTCATTAAGATTTCTTTTCTGGTCATCCTGATGGGGCACATTATAGTATTTTTACCCTGTGATATAATGTTAATATTAAATGAAAAATTCAGAATTCATCAGCAATTGAAATCAAAACTTCCTATCTTTATGCTATTAAGGAAGCTGGGGGTTAACACATTAGCCATATTTAACTTATTCTATAAATATGCTATCTTCAGCTGTTAACTATCATTTGGCAAAGAAAAATTTCATACATTTTAGTTTTAAAAATTTGATCATGAATTTGTATGCCTTTTCTTCTTCTTCTTCTAAAGGATATCAATATAGTTTAAACATGACCATGACCACCAAGCCCTCTTTATTTAAAAAAATCATATATCATTTACTTATCAATTCAAAAATATAAAAATGCATATGTTAATAAATAAATAAAAATTACAATTGTATCTCATTGAAACTTTACCTTCAAGTTTGTGTGTTTCTATGTTGATTGACTAACTGTGTATTTCCAAAGGAAGAGCAGACAGTCTGAACTTCATAGAGAATTCATTATAGATGGTTAGGAACAAAACATTTCTTCCATGTTGATGACTGTAGAAATAAAACCATTTTGTTAATATGACAGAGTACTGCATTAAACAATGCATGTTTAAATACAACATGTACAATGCCAAAAAAAAAAAAAGATCATGGAAATATTTGTTTTTAATCTCGAAAAATTGTTTTTAACATTAACTCCATATGAGAAAAGCTCATCATGTTATCTATAGATAATAAACAAGCACAACTACTGTATTAATATCATACATAAAATGATTATCAGATTAATTATTTAGACACTAAAAGACTTTTTATTAACAGCAGATTCAATTTTGGTTTCATACCTGTCAGTACTGCATACAAAAAAATACATTTTTTAGCATCATCACAGTACAACATGTAGTCCTTCATTTTTTGAAAAGCTCATTACCAAGAAACAAAAGTGAAAATGAAATTATATGTATACCATATATCACACATATTTAGAATCAAAACAAAAGCAAATTACTATTAGGATAAATCTTTTGTAAATTCATCCTTTTCTCTCATTACATTCCCAATCAATATCTCTTTGATCACCATTTAGTAAGTCTGAATTCCATGGGTAACATACATAATGAATTATGAAATTAAATCATAATCTATACAAAAGGACTTATTAATATTCTGAAGATCCCTTGATACATTTTAGGTTAAATAAGGGTGTGCTTATATGAATGTAAGTTAGAGACATTAGATCACATAAGTATTACACAGTAATTAAAGTAACCATATAATCATGGTTAAATGCAAAGATGACCATCATAGTAAATGTAAAAATTAAAACAAGACTAACTTACCAGAGATATTCAACTATATGCCCAATAAGCCTATCCATTAAATAATCCAGTGAAATAACATCTCAGCTGATCCTAAAAAAAATCATACAATTCAGTGATACACATTTAACCTCATTTTACAATGTAAGTAAAGCAATAATTTACAGACAAAAGGGATAGAAATGTAAAAGATACCATGTATTTTACCAATCTTTAGTGAATATTTTTCTGATTGAAATTCAATCATAGAATAACCATCATAGAAATAATAAATGCACTCTGAGTTAGGTGCAGGTTATACAACTGTAAATCACATGAAATGAGGATAAATACAGCATTTCCATTCAAAATAGAACTTTACATATAAATAATAGTTAAATGCAAAGATGACCTTCATAGTAAATGTAAAAATTAAAACAAAACTAACTTACCAGAGATATCCAACCATATGCCCAATAAGCCTATCCATTAAATAATCCAGTGAAATAACATCTCAGCTGATCCTGAACAAATCATACAATTCAGTGATACACATTTAACCTCATTTTACAATGTAAGTAAAGCAATAATTTAAAGACAAAAGGGACAGAAATGTAAAAGATACCATGTATTTTACCAACATTTAGTGAACATTGTTCTGATTTAAATTCAATTATAGAATGACCCATCATAGAAATATTAAATGCACTCTGAGTTACATGCACTGGTTATACAACTGAAAATCACATGAAATGAGGATAAATACAGCATTTACATTCAAAACAGAACTTTACATATAATTATGATTAAATGCAATTATGATCTTCATAGGAAATGTAAACACAAAATTACCTGTGGAATATGTCAGAGAAACGATTTTAAAAATGAACACGGTCTCAACATGCACATGGCAAAAATGCATCAGGATGATTACTTCAGTGGTCATAGAGAAATTGAGCTTTAAACAAGAAAAGCTTGACCGCAGTAAAATCATCATAGTAAAAGAGAGGAAAAACAAAAGATAGTCCTACATTTTCTGAAAATCTAAGTTCACTTCTTAGAAACAAAAGTGAAACTGAAACTTTAATTTTACAAGTGTATGACGTCATAATGCATAGGTAGCTCGCTGACTAGACTGTGTACAAAATCGTACACAGTACGATCAAAAGGTAAGTCTAACATATTTATGCACACGGCCCTAATTTTTTTGCACACGGTCCTTACAGATGATGCAACAGATATAAAAAGATGATGCAACAGGTATAAAAAAAGATGATGCAATAGATATATAAAGATGATGCAATAGATATATAAAGATGATGCAATAGATATATAAAGATGATGCAACAGGTATAAAAAGATGATGCAACAGATCTAAAAGATGATGCAACAGTAAAGGTATATAAACCAGCGCTGGACATTGAAGTTCATTCTTCGTTAGCATTCTGAATTAGACACAGGTAAAATATGGCAGAGGAAAATACAACAGAGAAAGTAACAGAAACACAGGATCGTATGGACGTAGATGACAGGAGTTTGATGTGCAGTATCTTAAATCAAATGAGCATTATCATGCAGATAATTCATAATGATATGGGTGATTTTAGAAAAGAAGTGATACAAAAGATTCGCCAACTAGGAAGGAAGACAGACCAGTTAGTGAAAGAAGTAGAAAAACTAGAGAAAAAGCCTCAAGAACCCAAGATTTCAGGGACCCACCAGACCAAACCTTTAGTGAAAGAAGGAGACAAAAAAGAGAAAAAGGAAGACAACAGAGAGATTCCAGGCCCCAGTACTACTCACAAGAGGAAACTATCCCTGATGACTGAAAAGGCACAGAAGAAGAAGAAAAAGTAAATTGATGTATTTTTTTCACTTGAATAAAATTGCTGTGTTCTTTTGTTTTGGTCTTGTGTGTTATTTGTTAATGTTTTGAGGAAATCCAGTTTGAAAGATGATGCAACAGGTATAAAAAAGATGATGCAATAGATCTAAAAGATGATGCAACAAGTATAAAAAAAGATGATGCAATAGATATCAAAAAGATGATGCAACAGGTATCAAAAAGATGATGCAATAGATCTAAAAAGATGATGCAACATATGTACTGAATTGACCCGGCTATCCTTAGAATCCCCTATCCCCTCCAGGGCTGCACTCCCTTGACCCACCTATCCCCCCCAGGGGCTGCACTCCCTTGACCCACCTATCCCCCCCCAGGGGCTGCACTCCCTTGACCCGCCTATCCCCCTCCAAACCTGCACTCAGTTGACCACCCCATCCAGGCTCCTTATACTACTAACAATGAGATGGCATATTTTGTGGAGTCAACTTTCACCTATAGATGCAAATGTTTCTAAAGGTATCACCAGTCAAGTAAGAATTTGGAAGTCAGGATTTATGCGCACTGGACAACAAATACCTGTAGAGCTTAGTACATTTCAAGATCTGCACCCACACAGGCGTTTGTTCTGCTTGATATTTTTCATAATGTTGGAAATATTTGGATCTTCTTTATGTTCATACCCAACACAACAGAACTATTAATTAAAAGTTGAATGTGCATGTAGATCTATGCATTGTTATATCTGAATGCTTGTATCTCAGCTCCTTTTAGTCCTGAAGAGTTAGAGATACTAAAGTACTTTCTGGCTTTCTCACATTTCAGGAAGCTCTTACCACGAGTCACTAAAGAATTGAAATTGATATAGTTTATTGCAATTAGATTGGTTTGTCCTTTTGATGAAAAATAGGAATTCAGTAAATGTTGGGGTCAGAATATGAATAAAAAATTCCCAAAGAGACAAACAATCATGTTCATTCCAAGCCTCCGTCTATCAGTACTTTCAGTACTTTGATTTTATACCATTATTACTCACATTGACTTCAGTGAGCATGCCGGGATTGGGGAAAAGCTACCGCCCATGTAGTTTTTTTTTAGGGACCGTCTCAAAATAAAGGCATATTTACTTTTATAATAAGAAAACAGTATCGCGAGAGCCTCATCATTGCAATTTCCAAATATTTCTCGCCGAGAACCAATCCTTTAAGACTTTGTTTCTATTGACAACAGCTCAAAATAAGGCTTTCTAAGACTGCGAAAATTAATCGTTGCAAACTAGTTTATCCCCGCTTAATTGCGAAATTAAGTCATCGCGAATTAAAGTTGGTTTAAAGTATAGGAATGTGCCATAGACACATGCATAACGTTACTTATATATGTTTTTCTTTAAATAAAAAGGCTCAGGCTTTTGAAGAAATTCCGCAATTTTTATACATGTCATATTACAATTCAAAGTGTATAAAGAATATCCTGTCATTGCAAAGCTCCATAAATCACTTCTAATTTTTTATCACGTGAGTAAACATTGGTATCTATGTTTAGATTAAAATGAACATCAATTTCTTGATATATGTAATTTTACAATTTTGTTACGGGGTAAAAATTTCGACTTTTAATCAGACCTTTTTGTGAACTTCAAAGAACCCTGAAACACATTGAGAGACATATAAAAAAAATTGTTGCATGAAAAGATTTAATTTTCAAGCTTCATTTTGAGACTTTTTGAATTAATTTATAAATTAAAGAGTTGTCCTTCCTGGCTGAGGATCGGAGTCCCTTAATTATATGATGAGTGATACTATATTGTACATTATACGCACAATCCGACTTAACATGATATAGCCTTCTTTTTAGACGGGGCATCTACAAAAAACGAATTTCCTAGTATTTAAAGAGTGCAACAAAATGTGACGCAAACAAAGAATTGCTAAAACATAATAAATATGCAGGAGAGCTTATCAAAGGATGATGGGACATAACCTTGGGCTTATTTTTCGAAGCCGAATTATATCTAAGCTACAACGATTTTTATAGTTTTAATTCAAACAAGCCGGTCAAATAAACGGAACAGGTAATCCAGGTCAGAAAACTTGAATTTACTCTGTTAACACTAACTCTCTGTGCACATGCAACGTTCTATACCTTTTCATATGCACTACTGTAAGAGAAATAAGACCCAAAATGTAGACCACTTAACTAAGCCATATCTTCTTTTTCATAATCCCCATTTTCTGCTTAATTTGCTAAAAACGGTGAAGATAATGAACAGTGTTCAATCTAAAATAACAAGTATATGAAGAGAGCATAAAAAATGGTCCTCTAAAACTTTTAGAGCTTGCTCTACGTAAAAACGCTTTTTAAAAAGATTTATTTATTGACAAAAAAGTTTAAGAAACAAGAATATAACAGCTTTATTTAAATTGTCATTTTGCAAGTTCTTTGGACCTTGTCAGCAAAAACAATCCTTAATTAATTAAGTCAAATGCTGAGCGAACTTCCAGATCATGAACGGGATACACGGCAGTTGTGATCGGTCAGCAGATGTTGCTCGCTCCTTCATGGTACATGTACCTAATCCCATCTCTTGATGTTTAAGAGGTCCGTTTTGCTCTGGTCCTGATTCATAGGATTTTTAGGTTTAGATCTTGTTCATCTCCTCCCGTTTATCATCGAATTTGCCCGATTCAAATTTTGTTCTTGGATGACGAGAAAAAAAGAGGAAAAAATACGGGGCGAAAATTTTCCTGTGTACAGTATATCTCTGTCAATTTCTAAAGATTTAATATAAGCTATATGTGTGTTCATTTTTCTAAAGAAAGGCTATAATCTCTACGTGACCATTTCTCTAAAAGAGCTGTATTTGTCTGTAAACCCTACCGTGGCTGTGAGGCATTCTTGTTAGTTCCTTATTGTGGTCGTAGGATATAACTTGTTAGTTCCATATTTTGGCCCTAAGATATAATTATTCACTTTTTAAAAGTAGTTGCAAGTTTTGCCTGTCTACTTCTGTGAAGTGTCTGATGTATATTCTTTTCCAGTTCTTAAGATGGCTAATGAATATCCCAGTCTTTTTCTCTAAAGTGAATGATGTAAATCTCTATTGATTTCTCGAGTTTATGATAAATATCCCGGTGAAAAAAAGGCCGATGTATATCCCTGTCCACTTCTCTAGAGTGACTGGTGTATATTTCTGTCCATTTCTCTAGAGTGTCTGATGTATATCTCTGTCCACTTCTCTATAGTGTCTGATGTATATCTCTGTCCACTTCTCTATAGTGTCTGATGTATATCTCTGTCCACTTCTCTGTAGTGTCTGATGTATATCTCTGTCCACTTCTCTATAGTGTCTGGTGTATATCCCTGTCCACTTCTCTAGAATGTCTGATGTATATCTCTGTCCACTTCTCTAGAGTGACTGATGTATACACCTACAGTGGTTGATGTGTATTTCTAGAACTCTCGACTAAATGATGTATATCTCTGTAAACTTTTCTTAATAAACACCAGACGGTTCCCGATCCTCAGGCAGACGACAAGACGACTTCAATACAATTCCTCTGGGACAAAGTGGAACTTACGTTCAACTTCAGCAGCAGTTACAGACAAGACCTCCGAAAGAGCAGGAGACCCCGTCTAGAACCCAGGGAACCCGAGGAGCCAAACCTCACAGTACTCCCCAAGAGTGGTACCAGATCGGGGAGCAGACGACAGGGGGGTGTACTCATCATGGGTGTTACAAGAC